GGTAAATATGCAATACACGCACTTGTGAATGATAAAATTATAATTCATATAAAATATTTGACCTGTTTGAGTCGTTCACTAATGGTGTAATAATAACTTGGCTTCCGTAGCCCGTAGGAAGTAGATAGATGATCTGTTTTTTTCCTACTATAAATAAATAATTATAAACTGCAAACAATAAAGAACAGTATGAAATGAAATGCACAACTATAAGGGTGGGTACACTGTTGAGTGAAATTTTATTAATTATGGTGATTCGTTGTTGCATTTAATATTAATTATAATGTGAATATAATATAGTCCCGATCGAACGACTGGAATAAGATTATAATATCAATATTACTATACTAACATTTGTACTATTTTTGTACCTTTTTGTACTACAATTTTCTTTGCTTTCGTGTAACCCAAAGTTTTTAAGATCTCGGGTTCCATGTTAATGAAACTGAGATTTTAAAATGTATATAAATTCAGTCGGGTGCAATTTTTTTTTCTTTTTTGTGGTACAATAAGAGAACAAAATTCTCATTATTTGTTTTTTTTGTTTCGGGTTCTAAGAAAATGTAAGTCGTTAACTCACTGACGGAAAATGTACTAATTATTGCTGAACTCTTGAACATAATTACAAAATCAAAGCTGTGTCGGTATACAGCACAGTCACACAGACATACAAAATTATATTAATAGTCGGTATCTACAGTCTGACGTATAATAGGTATTATAATATGGTATAAGTTACAACCGAATATGCAGAAGGCAATGAAAAGCGTAATGTAGGTTATATAAAATAATATTTTATATTAAAAATTGTTAAATTCCTTAATAAGTTTCCTTATTAATTTATTAGGTGCCTTGTGACCATAATTAATAAATCTTTACAATTTTAGAAAAAGGTTATTTTTAAAAATATTAAAAAATATATATATATATTTATAAATAATAACTTTAAAAGTTTTTTGAAATAATTAGTGTCTTACGTTAAAATTAATATTTAATATCAATGTTTTTCGAATTTCCACAAGCCGCATTAATTAATTTTACCCAAACCAGTTGACATATTTATTAATAATATTATCAAATGAATACCAAATATTATATAACATATAACACACAATTTTATTCAAGTTAATTTACATAATATAAAATTTATATATACAATTTACATAGACACTATTTACATATACATTGTTAGGTACACTAGCATAGCCATATATACTGTAGTTTATAATTATTTAGATATTTATACATTTTGTACAAAACATTTTCCCTGTTCGGGGTTAGAGTTAGATTAAACTAACTTCAACTCATATTGTTATAGGTGAAAAATTGCCCGCGGAGGGCAGCAGACAGCAGTAACCACTAATATAAATCGGTGATTACCACAAACGGAGCGATGTCAACGGGAGCGGAGTGATATAGCGAGGTTGAGTACATCATTACGGTGAAAAAGCAGAGTAAATGAGTGTCTGTTACACGCTATATATTATAGTACTATACTACTATATTATTTTAATAAACGGGTAGAATCGGATTACTACTTGATTGATTTAATACACATACCTATTAGTAGGTATATATGCGTGATTTGTTATAATATAAAATATTATAATACGATGTAAGGGTCATATTTATTTTGTCCATCAGACTATTTTTAATAATCTCGTTACGCGACCCTATTCGAAACACGAAAATTTTGTACAAATGGAAGCTTACGTTTTTCATTAAATCACCCCATAGATCGTTTATACATGAGCTTATTATATCCGTAATCGGTATATTAAGTTTGACACTCACACCATATTTCTTAAATAATGACATAGGTAACTACTTTAATTCTAAGCAAGCAAACTTATTTTTAGTGTGGTGATGTCCTTTAAGTAAAGGGAGCTTATATGAGTACAGTTTACGAGCTTACAACTGAAATTGTATAAAAATGTAAGCTTTTGAAAAAATATGCATGTAGGTAACTACTTATTATGTATCTAGTTAAAATTCAAAAAGCATAGAACATTAATTGTATACAGCCCATATCGATGGACAATATTATATTCGATAATGACAATAAGTACCTATATGTAAAATCTGGTAAGTACCCACATAGATATGTTATCACCCAATGGAAATAATTTGTCGTGAAAAAAATTTATTATTTTAAATATTTATTCGTACGATATGATTGATAATTAATATAAAAGCGATAGTGAATTATTTTATTTGATTTTATTAGTTTTATCTTATTAATTTCTTTATTTTTTTAAAATCATTTTTTATTTTACAATTTTTCCATTAGTTCTTATAGGCATTTTATAATTTATATTTTTCTAAATCTTGAATATACAAGGTTCAGGGTTCTTAAGCAAAGCGAGATTATATATGAGCACAGTTTACATCTCAAATTGTTTAAATATTTAAGTTTTTGAAATATAATAATATCCAAATATAGGTATCTACATAAAATTCAGAAATCATAGAACGTGATGGTTAGTAAATAACCCTGTATAAAAATTACAAAAAGAAAATTTTATTATAATATAAATTAAATAGGTAATAATACACTCATAGTGGTCATATGACATGGAAATAATAATGATGGTAAAAATAGTGATTTGTACTCTTACCAAAGTGGTGTAATAATTAATAAAGGTATATTCATATTTATTGTATTGTGGTTTATTCAGGGATTTAAATCAAAATGAAAAAAGGTGCTCTTCTGTACAGTAGGTTACAAGTGGGTCACTGTATAATTGATGGTATTAAATTTGAATTCAATAGTATAATATCATTGTATAAGAAAAACTATTCTGAGCGGAGGCGGTATGTAAGTCTAAGTATACGACTTATTATATACTTATCTATGGTATTAATAAAAATGGACCTATAATAGGTACATATAATAAATTTCAAATTAATCATATCACACTATATTTACAATATATTCAAAATTGGATGGTGTATAGGAAATGCTAATATAAATATTCATTGAAATTTTCATGTACCTATAGTAATTCGTTTTTGAATTACAACAAAATAAAGAAATCGCTACTTGAGAAATCGAGTGAACATCCAATGTTGTAAAAATTTGAATTCCAAACTCTCATAAAACTTTAATTTGACTTTCTTATAGACATTTTTTTTTGTTTGATTAAGGTAGATAATCTTATAAGGAATCTTGTATTACATTTTAAAATCTTAGATTTAAAAAGAAAAAGTTTTATTAATTCTTAACTCAAAATAATTTGCTAATTTTCGTGATTTTTCCATATTTTGTCAATTTTTGAACTTTAAATGCTTATAAAAAAAAAAAATGTTACAAAGGATTTTTAATATTTTTCATCTACCTTCGAAACAATATAGTAGGAGCCTTATATTATATTTCCAAGTATTTTTACTCAATAAATACATTTTTACTGATATTATTAAAAAAAAAACTAATAAAATTGGGAGTCGAAAATGTCAATAAACTGTTTAAAATAAATCAAAATATTTTGAAAATGTTATCGTATATAGAAAATGCAAATATAAACAACCAGTGAAAATTTCATGTATCTACGGTCATTTGTTTTAAAGTTACACCAAAAACCAAAATCGATTTTCTCGAAATCAGATTTTGCGTAAATTTTCCTTAATTTTTCTTATGTTTTTCACAGCGCTTTTGAAAACCAATGGGAAATTTTTACTTATGACCCCCCCCCCCCCAAAGTACCAACTTTATTCACTTTCCTATCAGAAAAGATACTGTTGAAGAAAATCCAAGCACTTTTACTGTAATAAAAGGTGATGACAGACACAAAACAATTTTTTTTTAAAAAACACACATCGTTGTAAATGAATCTAATGTTCAATTTTAATTTCAATTTCATTTATTATGAATATTTGTTTTTTTCTTTATTTCAATTTAAAAAAAAAAAACATTATAATTTTATTATTTCATTAGTGTTGCACAATGTCGATTTAATTGTACTTTTATTTTTCTATTAGATTTTAAACGTAATTTTTCGATTTAAAATATAAATTTTGATTTTTAAATACCTACGAGAAACCTGTCGTAAATTAGTAGGTTATGACATATTATGAACAATATTATAATTTATGGACCTTATGGACTATTATTGAATTAAAATTTAAATCGTACATTTAAAAAACATTTTTAATTGATTTGGATAAACGAATTATTATAAAACGATCATAATTATTTTGGTATAAATTATCGATTTAAAACGTTTCGAAATTTGAATACCATTTAAAAAAAATTGATATCACTTGATTTTTAATGATTTTTATCGATATTCAAATCCGATTTTTAAATATTTTATTTTTATTTATTAGTGATTAATCAATACTTTTTGGTGGATTATTTTGTAAAGGAATCCATATTTCAATAAACATTTTTATAATTTAAGTCAACTTGACGTGTATGTTGTAGACGTTAACCAAAATAGGAATATATGGGAGTAACATGTGCAATATTCAGTGAAATATTTTGTAAGTCGATTTAATTATTCACACAATACTAGATGGAAATGTTTTCAAAGTAAAATAATAAAATATATAAATAAATTGTAATATTTGACGTCTTCCGACGAACGATATCAGTTACACGAATCACCTTCAAGAGATATGGTCACGCCACCATGTCATAGCTTGCTCTACACTATAGGCGAAAGCCGTCACTGTATAAAAGGACGTTCTGATGCTTCGTTCCGGCATAACGCAATTTTTCTGCAAATCCAATATTCTGTGAGTATTTAGTTGACGAGAAACTACATTTATTTGATCTTTATATTATTTTAAATTTTAGTGTTTTATATTTTAAATTTTATTTTTTTTTTGTCTACTTGCAGTTTTCACTTTACTCCTCAAAAAACCAAACAAAAACCAAAAATGGGCGCTGAAAAAGTAACCATGAACATCGTCGTTGTCGGACAAGTCCAATCTGCCAAGTCCGTCAAATCTGTGGCCAAAGCCACCCCCACCACCAGCCAAGTGATGGTGAGTTAACAATTCTGTGAGGAATTTTAATTTCGAATAATAGCGGGATCGTATTTTTTTCACTGTGGCAATATTTCCAATATTGTTATTGTGTTTCAATTTTATCTTATTGTTGTGCACATGCGTTAACTCTTATATTTATTTAATTTTCTATAAGGTTTATAAGCTAAATCAGTCGTATAATATTCATTTTTATGTCACGCACGTCATTAAAATATGTACATTTTTTTTTATTATAACTAAACATTTAGAGCTTTATTACTAATAATTCTCTTCAATATTTTATTGCTATTTATTTATATTATTATTTATTTTATACAAATAACTTATTTTTTATAATTTGTAATCATAATTTACTATTTACTAAACATTTAATCTTTTGATAAAAGTCTCGAAAATCTATTTTCTCTATCTCTTAATAGTACTAAAATTGACTAACAAGATGTCAAATATTTTCGCACACATATTGTCATAATAAGCCGTCAGTGTTGTAATGTATTTTAGTAAATGCATTTAAATACTTTTATAGTATAACTTAAAACTTTTTTAAATTAAGTATTACGATGTATTTTAATACAGTATTGGTATATATTTTATAGGTATTTGAAAAACAAATAATTTTTTGTAAATACTTTTAAAAATTCAATAGAATTATTCGTCGCAGTTCACGTTGTTATTTGATAATTACTGTATTATTTAGTTCTACCAAGATTTTATAGTTTTATACTTTAGTATATTATATTAATTGACTATTATTTGTCTTGTTCCAGAACTGTTAATTCAAGTCCACATCAACCTCAAACTTAAAAATGCCATAGTCCAAACAGTCCATCATTTTATAATTTGTTTTTAATTATATAATAATGTGTATTGACATTGCAAAATAAATCAGTCCCTTCCGTCAATGATATCGTTTAATATTTATTTGTGCCATTCTGAGTTCTTAATACCGTTTATAATATAAACATTATTTATTATTATTAATTATAATCTATACTAATATTATATAGCTGAAGAGTTGGTTTTTTGAACGCTTTAATATCAGGAACTTGTGGGTCGCGAGGGCCTAATACTCGTCTTGACGGCCATAGTTGGTTATAAACATTATATTATGCGGGGTTGCATAAACGATTTATTACATTTAATGGTTCACTAAAAATTTAATGGGCCAATTACGGGCCACTAAATCTTGTTCAAGAGACCATTGGCTCACTATTTAAATGTGTTGTGCAATCCAGCAATAGAATATAATATGATATATTAAGTCGTCGGTGTTTGACATAGCTCCGAGACAACCGCGGGTAACGCGATAAGTCGTTCAATATTATGTCAGTCAGCTACTCACCTAGTACATATCTAGAACGAATTACTTTTTTTCAAAGAATATTAATTATACACGGACGTTTAAGTAAAATATTATGTAGTTTTTTTTAAGCCGTTGTCGCTATTCATGGACACTTAAAATGAGCTCGGCCGCCCGCCAGTCGTGGCGCCTAGTGGCAGATTAACTAATGGAATTCCAATCATAAAACGAAGAAAGCATCTAATATCTTAAGGAATTTAAGCGTCACGAACTACTGTTGTCAAAGTTATACATCGAACACTGCACCGGCCATATCTGGTTTCGTGAGTAGGTATATAGAGCTCAGTGAATACGACACGTGACTGCAGCAGTGCGACAGTACAACACTGAGTACATACTATTATATATTGTATACACCCTGGTTGGCATGGTTACAGCAGGTAGGTATAAGAACATTCGATGTGACCCTGTCACATTTATCGTCCTAGAGATGGGGAGCTATAATAATATGGTTCACAGCTTTTACAGTTAATATCGTTTTGTGCGCCACATCATCACTTTCTACCTCGTTTTTTCCGCATAGGCTTATGCCCGTCGGCGTATTCTACCGCCTAAATTTTATACAATTATCAATACGGTGTAAATGACGTGCCGTACACACTCATATAGCCCATCCCAATTTAAGAACATGTCCTTGTGCACAGTCAATTTATGTGTCGGACGTATGTTAAACTGTGTCTCGTGTGAGACACACAAATTGACCGGCCATAAGAGTTACTGCAGTTTGTTTCCGGAGTACAAATATAGTACCTGTGAAGTGCAACGCCCTATGAGCCCTATGAGCTTCCGGCCACATCAAACATTTGTGTATCACGTGATATGAATGCTCGGAAGCGCCGTTACGTAGGTAACTTTTATCGGCCCACTCTCGCGTTTACATAACATAGCCGAATAATCGCGAGACTTCGCCCTTGTGCAGTTAGTATTGGAGGTGTCGGTGTGATAGTGCGATCGCACATTTATTTATGCACACAATATTATTACACAGTAACGATTATAACGTTGTCCTATTTTAGACGTTCGTTACGAATTCGGTGTCGGCGGTCCGATCCGGCATCGTTTGTTTGTTCGATGTAACGATTATAATCGCAATTATAGATGTGTGTATAGCTGATCCGCCGATTACTTCTGGTGCGGGCGTCGTATTAGGCCGTCGTCGTGCATCTCCGTTTAATTAAGAAGTATAAAACTGTCAGAAATAATTGATTTACTATATATAGGTATATATACATATAATATAACACAAATTGACTTAACCTAATTCAAATTCAAATATTTTAACATCAATTAAAAAATTAAGTCAAACAATTTTTTGGGGGTCAATGAGAACCGACTCCTCGTGGTGGCCCCTGGGTAACTCTAAATGGTTCTCAAACTATAATTTAGACCAGTAGGTAGAAATAGATTTGGCGGAAATGAAAATCGAACCTTTTTCTTTTTGGCGGAAAAGAAAATCGAGTATTTTGGCGGAAACCGATGACCGATCAATAGGAACACTAACGGAATCAAAATGGCAGCCCTCGATATTGGGACGCTTTTCAATACATGAATTATATACAATGCGCCTCCCATGTAGGTATAGAGTTCAGTGGGTATACCTAGTCATAAACCACTATAGAGCATATTATATTATGTATTATCGTATATTTCATATGAGTATATTACTATTATAAACATATTATACAACTTTATACTTTAACAGAGTCGTGTAAAAATGAAAGTAATTACTTGATAAATAAAGCAGGATTGTTATGGTTGGCGTGATTACCAAAACAATAGGTAGATAATGAATTGTTTATTATACATTCATTTTATTTCTATGTTTTATTATTATTGATTCAACAATATTTTTTTGTGAATAATCTATTAAATACTAGGTTAATAGTAATAAATAATATTATATTTTTATAGTGTCTATTAAATACTATAATAGGTTAATAGGTACCTACATAATATGTATTATCGTACACTTCATATGACTATTATTATCATATAATACAGCTTTGAACTAAACAAAGTAGTGTAAAAATTTTAATAATTACTCAATAAATAATGCAGGATTACAACTGTACATACCTATATGGCTATATAAGTATATTATTACATAAATTGAAACACATCTATAACTACCAGTAAAAGGTAATTTCAAACGTTAAAAACTTCGTTTATAACATTGGTCGGGTCGTGTTCGGCCGCCGATACCATAATACCTATAACATTATGACTGTCAAAATCTTTACATTGTACGCTCTGACGGAATGGGGACCAAATTCAGCCCAGGAGATTGCAATTTATACAGGCCACCCATCACTTACCATTTAAATCACTATTACAACCTATAAAGGTTCACTGCTAAAATAATAAATTGTATTCATAATAATAATACAACTCTCAGTAATACCAAAGTAGGTGGTGTTTCAATCACTTTTCTGCTATTTCACTTAACTTAAGTGAAGTGTATTAATATAGGTACCACTAATACCTGGAAAATAATATTAGTATGGTTAAATAGTTGAAATCACTGCAACATTAATAGTTGTATATTGTGTCTTAATGGTTTAGGTATAGCAGGTAGTAAGTTACAAAATACATTTATAAGAAATAAATATATGTATATAAATTATAAACAAAATAATAAAATATCCAAAATTATGTACGTCATAAAAAACAGATTATCTACCTATTAAAAACATTTATAGATATATTTATAGGTAATAATAATTTAAATAATAGTTTAGAGTTCTCACTAACTGCATTTAAAATAATATTGTTAGCTCATTCCCTGAGAATTTTATTTTTTATGGTCATAAGCATAAAAAATATTCTAAGATTTTCATTGATCATTGCATTTTTTAGACTGTTTTTCAAATATTTTAATGTTGAAAATGACCTTCCACATGCAATTTGCGTAACAGGGATGGTATTACAATGTATATAAAAAATAAACAAAATAATTTAGAAAATGATTACAGCTCATTCGGGTGTAGCGTCCTCTTAACGCCCTTAACCAGTAACCAGCATATAACCACATCACATTTGCATGCAAAGATTTGTTTGGACTTAGTACAGATATTGTTTATGCAAATAATAATGACCAATGGCCCAATTACGCAATTTTATGTATTATTAGTTATTGTTCAATTAGCCAATTGGGTAGTGGTATGTCTGTTACCGCTCTACAGATATATAACTTTCAGCAAGCACAGCGTCAAAGAGTCATATCTGTTGGTAATATTATATTATTTCTTTGAAAAATTACTTCTGCTGAGTTTTAGTCGAAACCACGCTACCCGGGTGTTGTACTATAATAATAAACAGCCGACGTCAAGATATTGTTTTTATTTTATGTCTACAATATTGTGCAAGTGATATTTTTAAATTGTATATCCAATGATTTCTCTCATACTCATACGATACTATTAAAATGTAATACGCAGTTAATAATAATTATAATGATAATACCTACAATAATTTCATAGATTTAAAGTCTTAATACAAACAAATAATTGTTGACCAAGTTTGTAAATAAAATCTCATATAAAATGACCGGGCAACCAGGCCATAATATTATGGTCCAGGTCATCGGGAAAATTCGTATTTCCAGACCAGCCCTGCGGTGTTGTACCCGCCATCTATTGTAAGATATCTGAACACCTCGGCCATGAATCATGGCGACGAACTAAATGCATGTCTTATGAACATGACATTTGTCGTCGAACACTAATTTAGGAATCAGTAACCAGCAGTATAAAGTAGTACTATACATAAATATAGATGAAAAGATTGAGTGCGTTGTCGACGAAGTCGTCGTGGAAAATATTATTATGATGACGAAATATATTGAACATCCAACCACAATCGAACACTGTCAATCCATCCGAGGAACCAATGCACGATTTACCGGATACGCTAGTGGCTAGTCGGATGTATTGTTAAAGCCTCTTTCCAACTTCCGGTGGCTCCGCTCTGTCATTGTTGAGCGCTGTGAACGCAGAGAACGAGACGAACTGAGAACTACGTATCCGACGCACAGATCATCGAGGACAGCAACGCCATGCGTCACTGTGCGTGTAAACGAAAAAAAAATATTCGGTTCCGGCTAATGGTCGGGACGTATCACGATCGATCGAGCCACATCCGGTCAACAACTATAATATTATAGTCAATATTATTTTGTAGCTTCCAATCCCATAATACGACTGTCGAATAAATGTTCGGCTTCCGTAATTATTAATGTAATATTATTAAATATATAATTAACAATGTTATGTTATATTATAAGCGTAAATTATCTTGACACCTAACTATAATAATATTACTCATCCATGTTTATATCTATGTGTGTGCTTATATACTAGTATAGGCGTATATCTATACCCATAGGTATATAGTATAATATTATAATATATTACCTTA